TCTGGAGCATGTACAAACATATTCATCTTTAATAGAGCAGGCAAAATTGAGAACAAACAAAACAACTGCTGTACAATGCCATCCGTAACTTTAGTTGAATTGCTTACACTGCATGATATGACTAAATTACGTCATCGTTTTCGAAAGCCTGTGGTTACGCTGTCCACACTGCCAAGCAAAAACGGCGTTTTGAAATGTATCCGCTTAATCTTTATGTGACCCTGTAAGAGGAGATAAGGTGGAAAAAATTCTCCCACTCCTCAAATGTGAGGTCAAAGGTGTAAACAACAGCTGTGGAATGTTTTTGTTCTGACTGTATTTAAAACCAGGACTGGACTGGGATCGTCAGAGAGACTGCTGTCCAGGCACGTGCAGAGGGGGGGCTAGAGGGGCTTGAGCACCCGCCCCTTTCCTGATGAGTGCCCAAAGTGCCCTTTTGTTGAGGCAACTTTTAAATTTTTTTTATTTATTTATTTATTTTTTATGTGTGTGGGCGTGCAGAGTCCTGTCAGTGCCCCTCAACAATAATATTTAACTATTAATCACAGTTAAATAAAATAAAAGGATCTGGCTTGCATCAGTCACATGATCACATTTAACCAATGATCGCCCTTGACGGCAGAACGCGCTGGTTACGAGCTGGACCGGACCTGTAAGAGAAACACAAATTAATTTCTTCCATACAGACTGATGCGACAAAACCAGTAAGTAGGTGTACAGCGTACACTGTAGTGTGTAGCACCCAGGAGTATTAGCTTATTACGTACACGTTGGTAAGTTGTCTTGTGGCAACTGACGAACTGAAGCAAATGAGCGTGCTGTGTGTGCAACAGCGTGACAAACATTACCTGTCCTTTTATTAACTGCACAAGTAGTGCTGGTCATAGCTGCTGGCTCACTGTGTAAGGCTGTCATGGGTCTGTAGCTCTGTCACCGTTTTATGGAACATATTTAGTTTTAAAGTAAGTTTCCAGACTTTTCCTGCCTTTCTGGAGGGATTATATTTCACTAAAAAACGATCTAATATGCATGTCCACATAATTATGCATTATTATAATTATAATATATTAAAAAACGCGCTGTATTATAAAGAACATACATTAAGAAGCAGATTATATTAGATTTATATTTTAAATAAGACAAAATTTGGATTTTACAGCAGTAAAATTATTGTATCACTACAGTTAAAAATGTAATAAGCTTTGCCCCTGCACAGAGTGGATAGTGAAACAAATGGAATCATCATAATGACATTATTTCATATTTATTACTTCTCCCTCCTCATTGCTTTATTATTGTAGCTCTAGTAATAAATAATAATGTAAGGATTCTGGATCAGCACCACGATGCCCATAGTATATACAGTATTCTGAAGAAGGTCTAAAATGTCACTGTGTGTGCGTGCATGTGTGTGTTGTATTTAGATGGATTTACTCATGATATAACATTGTCCAGACATGGCTGGTAAGGACATGAGGAGGAAACAGCAGGAGCTGTGTGCGGCTACTAAAAGCAGTGCTATAACATTTTTCTGTCATCATTTTATTATAGATTAAGTGCAAGAGTTGTTAGGTGTGGATAATTAGATTATAGTTTATTGCAATAGCAAGTTGTGCCTTGTTCTCACATAGACAGCAAGTGGAGAGTGATATATGAAATGATGGGATGGAAGGAAGAAGAGAAGCAAAGAGTGATCCACAGGCAGAGCCTAAATTATTTCTTACAGTTTTTGTTGCCTTATGGTTCCAAGCGCTGTCACCAATCTTTGCATTTTGTTATTATCTCATGACACTTGTTTAATCAGCTACCATCTCTCCTATGGACTTTTTAATGTCTACAGTCTCAGATCAACACAGCCCTGCCCTCCAGCACTATCAGCAGCAGGAGCAGCAGAAACACCTCAACAGCAACATTGTACCCATCAGGTAAAAGATCGGCTACGTTTGCTTTACATTGTTGCCCATATTAGATTCTTGATGAATGTGTGTTGTTGTTATTCAGCCTGGTTCAATGTGCCCCTTTTTAACTTTGAGCACCCGCCCCTTTAAAGCTCTCTGCACGGCCCTGCTGCTGTCAACCCCGCGATGGCGTCTCTCTCCCAAGCATACTTGTGTTCATTAAACGGTGTTAGCCTACTGCTCATTGTTGTCTGTAGATTTTGTTAATAACATTTCCATAACAGAAAATGGGAACATTTATGATTGCTTTGAAATATTAGCTTGATGTGTTAAATACCTTTGAAGACGCCTTTTTTTTTGAAAAATGGTCTGTCGACACACTTTCAGACCTTTCTTTCACACATTGAAATTTGTGGCAATGTTTGGGCATGCACATCTTTCTTAGCCTAAAAATAAACCCGGATCTGTAATTTGGAGCACATACATCAAAAAGACTATTCTAAAAATCTAAGTTTTCCCTAATTATAATATGGAGGGAAGAAGTCTGGCATTCCTGCAAAGTCCCATATTTGAGTATATATTAATAAAAACCTCAAATTGCAGGAGACAACTAGTGATGATCCTGTCCACATAATAAAATACTGGGGTTTACAGATGGTACTCAGAAAATAATGTAGTGAAATATGTGCCAATTTTTAATTTTCAAGACTTGATTCACTCTAGTCTGAAATCATTATAATGTTTAGAATATTTTGTGCTCCACCATCTCTGATTTTATGATTCAAAGTTTGAATATACAGTATACAATGATTGCTGTTAATTTTACCTTTGTAGATATAAAATGTTGAAATGTTGATATTTTACATATTTGCTCAATTCAGTTTGAAAGTAAAATGAAAGTAGCGTTTTCCTTATTTTGTGATTACAAAATTCTTACCTACAAGGATAAGTTTATGAGTAGTTATAACAAAGGAAAAGTAATAAAATTGATGAAATATAACAAAGTGTGTCAGTGTTTGCAAGTAAATATTATTTTATGCATGAATCTTCCAGTGTGGTAGTCGAAATAGAATTTTTCACTACTGAAAATTTTTACAAACTGTTCATATTCTTTAAACTCCAGTTTTATTGATTTTGATTTAGCTTTTCTGAAGATTAAATTGGAACCAGCATAACTCGACTAATTTCTGTGATTTTTCTTTCACAGGTAATCTGAAGGAAAAACATGAATATCATCTCTCAGCAACATCTGGCAGTATTCACACCAACAGAAACACATCCTATAATCCAGTGCATAACTAATAATGACCTCAAAGAGCTCAGTAAATTACTAGAGACCAATGATGTTAATAGAGTTTACCCCTGTAGAGAGTGTAGTGATTATATAACTCCATTGATTGCTGCTGTTGTAAATCACAACACAGATATCTGTTCTTACCTTTTGGATCAGGGTGCAGACCCAAATGAACCTTCTCAACTCCGCTGGACACCTTTGCATTATGTCTCACTGTCCAGTGCACCGCCTGATTTTGTAGATCTATTGCTTAAGGCAAAAGCTAATCCAGATGGATGGAGTCATAGAGTCCTGAGTCCTCTGAAAAAGCACATACACACACCATTTCAAGTTGCAGCCATTGGAAACAAGGAGGAGATCATGAAAAGACTCATCTCTGCTGGTGCTACGGTGTCACTGCTGCCCATGCATGACCATGATTCTGATGCGCTTATTAACAATAAAAAAATATCTCAGATGATTAATCACTTTGCAGTGATTAAATGGAGAGATGTAGATAAAGTATGTTCCCAAATCAGACCTTTTTTGGAAATGGAAATTGCAGTTTTTGAAAAAACACCTGAAGAAGTGTTTAAAATGTTCAACGATGAAGTGTTGTTAGAGGATCCTAGATCTCATCTGACCATGATTGAATCCCTCTTTCCTTGGAACAAAAGGGAAAAATACTGTCAGGCTTTTAGTAAATGGCTAACGGAAACTGGAAATGTGAATACTTATATTGCAGGTGCAGCTAGTCGCTTTCCAAACATCCCCAAGACATATGTAGAGGTGGCAGTTGAAAGTTTGAGTGCAGTTTTCTGCACAATGGATGAAATAACAAATGAGCATGCATTGGCTATAGTCCCACAACTGCTGAAACAGCTTGACTCCCAAGACAGTGGTGTTTGTGAAGCAGTGCTACAGACACTGTATGTAATAACACAGAAAACAAAAGGCACAAAGGACTGGGACTTAGACTTTTTCAAGAAGTTATGCAGAACAGTTGCCCCTTTTGTAAATGGGTACTCTCCTAACATCAGGGTCTACACGTACGGTATATTTGGAAACCTGCTGTCAGTTGAACAGACATCTAATATTTTTACATCAATGGGCATAACTTCAGTGCCCAAGAACATACTTACATCTGTAAAAATGGAAATTAATGAAAAGCTGAAGGAGGTGCTGAGAAGTCTAAACAACTATTTAAGGAATCCATACTCAGAATGTGAGGGAAATACAGCCTCACCTTTAGTCAGGAAAAAGAGAAAGATTGAAAAGAAGGAAAAGCAAGAAGACCTAAATGATGAAGTTTCCACTGCAGCAACTGATCCAACATCAAAGTTTCCAGTTGTAGAATCAACGTTAAATGTAAAACCTTTTGAATACAACACCATCGAAAAATCAAAAAACAAACGAAACTGGCTTCAAATCAGCAACAGGTGGAATGACAAAGTGAAGAAACTTGTTGGCACAGACGAAAGTAAAATATCCAGAATCAGAAGCATTATTTATGTGAATGATGCAGAATTCAGAATAGCGAAGGGAAGTGATGGTACTGAAGTCTTCTTGGGGCTGAGAGAGGACGGCACAGAAGTTGCCATTAAGAGAATGTCTAAAAGCAACTATGAAGTGCTGAAGAACGAAGAAGGAATCCTACGACTCCCAGAACTCGATCATCCTTATATCGTACGATATGTTGATGCTGCAGAGGACGAGAACTTTGGATATCTTTGTCTGCAACTTTGTGAATACACCTTGGAAGAATATATCAAGAATCATGACCATGACCCACAGATGTTAAAGAAACTTGTAAAACAAATTCTTGAAAGTCTAAAGGTGCTTCACTGTGGAAATCCTAAAATTCTTCACCGAGATCTCAAACCCCAGAACGTTTTGATTGGTGAGACATGTTTGAAATTCAGAGAAAAACTAAACAAAACATATGTCAGGTAAATATAAATAAATGATTTAGTTTAATGAGTTTTGAATGTCATTCCTCCTGCAGATGTTACTGGGAGGGCAAGATTAGCTGATTTTGGCATAAGCAGACGCTTACTCAAAGGCCAAACAACTTTACGTACACGCAGTGCAGGAACCGAATGCTGGATGGCCCGAGAGACTTTAGCAGCAAAATCTGCATCATACAAGTCAAGCACTGACATACAGGTAAAGTCTGCTATATAAACTTGATTAACTGAAAGATGACTTGGTAAAAAAATACCTAAACTGATGTGTTACTGTTAAGGTGGCTGGGATGCTGATCTATTATATCCTTTCTGGAGGCCACCATCCATTTGGTGACTTGGACTTAAAATCCTTTGAATGTGAGTCAAACATTTACTATGGGAAGTACAGTTTGGATCACATTCAAGATGCGGTGGCAAAGGATCTCATCGAGTGGATGATCAACAAAGAGCCAAAGGACAGACCCAAAGTAGAAGAATGCTTGGACCATCCCTTCTTCTGGACTCTGAAACAGTAAGGAAGTCATGCTGTAACAGAATCTGTGATTTCTGGTTTCACTTCAGTAAAGCACGAATACACATGCTGTATAATAATGAGAGCCTAAACTGTGGGGGGGAGATTTTCAGTTTGTTACTTGGCTTAATCTATATGTTGGGAAAATGAGGTTAAACTGTCTTGTACTCAGACAGGCACATTACCATTGGCAGCAAATACTAAATTATTTTCCCACACTTCAGTCTTTTTAAGCAAGACTATTTTGTGCTGCTCCTGTTATTATTCAAGATATACCTCTTAGTTTTTTGTTATTGTTGTACTTATAAAGCATAATTTCAACTTTATTTCCAGGCAGTTTGAATATTTGAGGGAGACCGGCAACAGGGAGGTGGTGGCAAATTGTCGAAATGCCGATGAAAAGCTGATTGGTTCACTAGAAGCATGTGCTAATGGATCCTTCAAACTGTGGAAAAATAAGGTGACTTACAGATGAGAGGTCAAACTTATGTATTCCTAAAGTCCAGTTCATGACCACCATGTTTTGTTGTTGCAGTTTCCCCAAGAGCTGGTTCGGAAGATGGATGGCAGAAAGCCGTACCCTGAAACCACACTGGGATTACTGCGCTTTATACGTAATCTCCATGAGCATAAGTAAGTTGAACTAAATGAAAAATTATTAATTCATGAACACATATTCATATGTGTATATATATGAATTTCTTGCAACTATATGCACATATCACAAATATTTCTGATACTATGACAGATTTGGAAGCTTACTTCTCTGTTACTACTCATTAATAAAACTTTCCTTGTTCACAGTCGTGAGGACGCTCCTCACATTGACGTATTGGTGTTATTTCCTGATCTCTTTGGGTGTGTTTACAAGTTTACCAAGGATAAAGGCTGGAATTTAGAAGGAAATAAGGAAATGTTTGAAAAAGAAGAAACAAAGGACATTTGTACCGCCTTTACAATGATGTCTACAAGTATAGACGAACCTATGAGTGTCCCAGTTCAGGAATCTCAATAGTGACTTTAAACAAAGTTGAATTCAGTAAGGACGAAGGCTGTCATTAAGGCCTGTACAGTATGACAACCATTCAGAGAAAATGTATATAAGCAAATACTATTATTAGAAGTACAGATGTTAATGAAAGCTTTGAAGGATATTTTGTTCAAGCGTGTATATATAAGCACACCACAGAAACCAAACCAGCAAATCAAAATGTGTTCTGCACAATAAGCCAAAGTTTTGCACCTGTTGTTCATTGTGACCACTTTCCAAATCCTGATAGAAGGAGAGATGGTATTTTAAGGGACCTACTAGTACTAGATGTCAGTAATGTTATTTGTATGGTTTTATAGTTAGTAGTTAATTTAAAATGTGCTATTA